ATGTTGCGACTGATAAATGGGGATCATGACCATTACCGCTAGAAAGTTCAACTCCGAAAACCACAATACATCAAATCTTGCGTGTTAACCGACTTCGCGGCGACTGGTAAAAGAAATAGACACAATTATTTGAAGAAGATAGCGATGTATTCTGTGTCTTCGAAGCCAGCATGCGGTAATTCTATGTGTCAAAGCGTTCAAGAAAGTACAGATGATCACGGTCGACTTGTGTGTAGAAGCTGTAAAGTAATAAGAACGAGGCAATCACTGAGCTAATCGAGTCAACAACTTGTAGGTCCCCATCCCGCGAATGCTGCAATGCCGTGAAGGATACCTTGCATCAAAAGTCCCAGAAGGTGTCGGCGTCTTCCTGGGCAGCTGCAGAACTGGAAAGAATTCCCTGCACTTCTTTCCAGCACTGATGGTACGCAATCTGCTCGCTGTAGTGCCTGTGCTCGCTTGATGGGACACGACGACTAGCGTGCTGCCATCAGGTGATGCTGTTTCGCAGATTAGGAAAGTTGGCGGACAAAAATTGCGCAACGGGGACGGGTGAGGAAATAGCAACGTACATATGATAGAATAGCTATTCAGGCTCCGTGTTTTCTGTGTCCGAGTTTGAGGACCCCGACTCCAATTCCGACAGTTCGTCACCATCGTCCTCAAAGGAAATTCGAGGGATGGTCGGAAATGCTCTGTGATATGCCGCTGTTGTAAAGTTACGATTCCCCGTTATATACAACTCTCGCAACGTGCAGCCTGATTTTGAAAGGAAGGACTTCAGCCCACCGATGGGATTCGGTTCGAGGTCTCCCTCGGGGATTTGAAGAGTGGCGAGGGCGGGGAGGATGAGGCTATACAGATACGACTTCTGGAGTAGGTCACCCTTCATCAAAACAAATGATTCCAGGAAGGGAAGCTCAGTATCAGGCTGAGGGTCGCGCTCGTCGTCGTAGGAAATGAAGGATAGTTTGCAGTGGACAAGGAGCGTAGTTTGTTTCAAAATGACTGTGCATTCGTGGGGGAAAACAGATTCCAAATTTAAAGACGTCAATTGTGACCAAGGTAAAACAACATTGTCGACATAGGAGACGAGCCTTACAGAGCACAGCAGCGGGGCATCACCGACAGTTATCGCGCCAGAAAGTTCATCTTGGAAGGAAATGTCCAGATGGCGAAGAGAGGGCATCGGGCCGCGGAGGTAAAGGAGGATGTCGTAGGTAACGTATGACAATTCCAGATGTTCCCATCGCGCTCGATGCGACGAGAGGGTTCGCATGCATTGAGACTCGTACCAGAAATCTCCGCTGATATTGATACACAGACGATAGATGCACGATCTAGCAAGCCACTTCTGCAGAAGGTTGTTGTCTTTCTCGTCACAAGTGGGAGTTGTAACGACCAGGGATATCGCTCTCCAAAGCGCAGGGGTGGTATACACAATGTCCCTCCATTGGCGACAAATGCGTGTCAGACGCATCGGCGAGCAGAGGCCATGCATTTGTGGAGGTATAGAATAGACTGGAAGGAAAGCGATGAAGATTTCGGTGGTGATTTCATTGGGTAGAGTCAGGATGGGGTATGAGTAGGAACCCAGCCGTTTCTGAGCCTGGACCTGTTCAATTCGCAGTGCGCGAATAGATTGTTCAAGATATGAAATCTCGGCTTCTATATCGGCAATACGCGCACGGTCCATTGCACGCCTACTGCGAGCCACCGTCACGGTGTCGGTGGCATCCGCAGAGTCCTGCAGTTGTCTGTCATTACTGTAGACAAAATGCAGTTCATGGGCACTCACCATCGAACCCGTTCGTGTCTTGCGTCTCCTGTTGAGCGACGGAGTAAACGAGGAAAAGAAAGGACGGTGGTGGTGGTCGAGAAGAAACCAAGGTCGCACCGCCACTCTGTTTGGACGTGCTAGGTCTGTTACCCGAGAAAGCAGTGCAAAATTGATTTGGCACCACAGTTTCATGTAGTGCTGCCGGAAGCTGAGTTGAGGCGAGCCGACCTCAAGGTAGCTCGATCGAAAAAGGAAATCACTCTGATGGAATCAATTTACCTTTGGATCTCCCTGGACACAAAATGCACCCAAATCCTGAATTTCGCGGCACAGTTCGCATTTTTCTGGGACTAGAAGTGCATGTATCAACTTTGTTTCCTCTAAGATGATGTGCTTAAAGTTTCTACCAGCCAAAGTGCCCAATTGATTCCATCAAACTGTTTCCTTTTTCGATCGAGCTACCTTGAGGTCAGCTCGCCTCAACTCAGCTTCCGGCAGCACTAGTTTCATGTGACTTGCAGAAAATCCCTCTTGATTCGGACTCCCATGCATACACACCCGTTGCAGATTTCAGAGGTCTTCGCAGAAATCTGCTCCCACCTTGACTGTCGGGGTGCATACTCGACTTCTCTACAGCCTGGTGTCGACCGGAGGCAAGAAAAGCGTGCATTGGCAGCGCTCGCGACAACCTGCCGAGCTTTCACTGACTCGGCGGTCGATGTTCTATGGCAGGAGCAGACCATTGACAATCTGCTTGGTTGCTTGCCTCCAGATCTTCTCGTTATCGACGGTGCAAACACCCATACTAAAAAAATGGTGGGGAATTCCGATTGCTGTCGACCTCGACTCACAATGCTGCAGCGGTTGCTCCGACCAGTAATGAATGAAGACTGGAAAAGATGCCGCATTTATTCACCGCGCATTCAGGCTCTTTTTCCTTCGTCCATCTCGGCGGATGTTCTCCCGACGATCAACGCGTGCCTGCCTAGCGACCTGTTTTCAAAACTCCAAAGCCTCACTTGGGCGGGCTCTGATTTCTCTTCCTTTCTCCGCCCCACGATAACCGAATTTATTTTGTACCTACAAGGGGAAACCCCTCCTCCCGTGCTCGCAACCCTCGGCCAGACATGTCCCAAACTGAAAAATATCTACATCTATCCGGGGCACAGCAGCACCGATTTTGTGGACACCTTCTCGTGCTGCATCCGCAGTCTAGCATCGCCCGAGCGAATAATTGTGTACACTCTCGACTGGGAAACTCTAGAACATCTCGGACGTCTCAAATCGCTCACATTTCTCCGCCTACTTTACCCGGATGGGCCACTCCGCCTGCTTTCGGGTGTCCCAATGTTTCCCGCGCTGCAGCATATCGGTCTCGAACCCATCGAGATCCAGTCTGCCATCCAGCTCCTCTCAATGTGCCACGACACTCCACTGACCCACCTCGAGGTGGATTCCGAACTTGCTCCCAGCGCATCGGAGGCAGACAATCTCTTCGGCGCGCTCGCAGCGCGTTGCTCCCACCGCTCCCTCACGACGCTCTTCCTCACCAAGCGGCACTTCGACCTGGAGGATGTCATCGAGTCGTACACGATCCCCGCACCCACACTCCGCTGCCTCTTCTGCTTTGCGAACCTCGCCACCGTGGACCTCACCGCCGCCATCGCATTCGACCTGGACGACGGCGGCGTGACGGATATGGCCCGCGCGTGGCCACGCATCGAAGCCCTTCGACTGCCACTCAGCATGCCCTCGCGCATCACACTTGCCGCTTTACGCGCCTTTGCGCGCTTCTGTCCCGAGCTGCTGGAGCTCCGCCTGTCGCTCGATGCGTCAACTATTCCTCCCGATGTGTCAACTATTCCTCCCGATGTGTCAACTATCCCCCCCGATGCGGCCATTGCTACTACTACACCCTCTACGGAGGAATCCGCGCTGTCATCGCGTCTGCATCCCCTTCGCCACCTCTCCATCGGCCGTTCGCCGATTAGCGCACCCGTGCTCGTGGTTGAATTCATCAGGGATCTGTTCCCCGCTTTGGAAAGGATTTTGACGGGCGACAGTGATAGTGATAGTGATAGTGATAGTGACCAGGATGACAGGGTTGAGGATGATGATGATGATGAGGAGGAGGAGGAGGAAGACGTGGAGGGCGAGGAGGACGAAGATGACGACGATGGGGACGAGGACGAGGACGAAGAGGAGTGAGATAAGTACCAGACCCGTTGGCTGAAGGAATCGCTGCTGCCACTGCCCGTGCATGAATAAGTGGGAAAAGGTTGTCATTGAATACAGCGACATGTACTTGGTGTGCATTACACGTCTCTTTTTTGTCGGACTTGCTTCGTACGTCTCAGAAAGAGCGCATACTTGCTTTGAACTCGATTCTAGAAGACTCGACTGTGTGTAATCCGGCGATCAAAACAACGATATTAGCATAAGAGTTGAAAGGTTGAATGAGGCGTACTTTCGATATATCCGGAAATCTTAATCCATTCGGCGCCGACATCTTGAAGCCAGTAGGCTTAAAAAATAATTGAAGGAGAGGCGTCGATCCAATTTAAATGGACGATAGTAAAGATGAGTCACGCACGGAGTGCGATCCAGTTTTGTTGTCCTGCTTGCAACGCGCCCTTATTTTTGAGTTGGTCTTACTTCACCCATATCATGCGACTCAAGCGAATAGGTTAGGTGTGCGCCATGTCTCCCTTTACAACTCTCCGATATTTGCGATAATATGGATATTCCAGAACAGCTTGTTTCTTCGGAAGATCGGCCGACCGTCCGGCCGTCGACGATTGGAATGTCTGGTCTGTATACACCAATTGACCGCTGAGGTATTGGCTCGAACTCTAGTACTACTTAGTGCTGCCTCACTCAGCAAGAAGAAGAAAAATCCATCGGACTTTGCGTGAGAAATCTTTTCAACTGGCAGAGATGATAGATTCAGGATGCATATGATCGAACCTTCAACGGTCTTTGACAACCTTACAGTTTCTTGGCGGCGTCTGAGTTTCTTGCGTCGTCCAAGGCCGTTTCACAATGTACTTATGGATGGCTCAATCCAGAACAAATTCAAGAAGTTAAAAAGTCACGCAGGCCTAACGGTGAGAAGCAATGTTGAATGTATCCGCTTGAGGACGAGAGCCGAACTGGATAGGGCACCAGTAGTATGGGATACAAGCGCACCAAGGAGGCTACAAAGAGTACCCCAAAAATGTTCCGAAACGGGGAATCGAACCCCGGGCTACCGCGGACTCGGACGGGTATAATGAGAGGCGGTAATGTTACCATTACACCATCTCGGACATGGAAATCCCATCCATTCGTATTCCATTTCAACTGGGGCCAGTGGGCTTTATTGATTTGCGTGTGTATCCGTGCGTGTGTTTGCCACGTGTTCGCGTCTTTCTTTTCTTTACCACCACCACGACCTACGATTCCGCTCAGAGCTATATTTCTCTAATGAATAAGTCCTCATCCAAACCCCTTCAGTGCTGTGCCCCGCGGAGGATGAAATGCAAAGATTGAAGGATCTCGGTCTCAATGCTGATACTGACTAGCTCGAAATGGGCGGAACGTTTCTGAGGTGTGAGTTCCCGAATTCAGCATTATCTCACAACTTAACCTTCCACACGGCCAGCGATTCCTGTGCCTCGCCTTGTGGCTCGATTAGAGTAGACCCAATTGACAACGTGATGCGTATGAATTCATTTCATTTGGAAGATTTTGTTGTTAAATGACACGCACCCTCAACTCTAACGTTAACCGACCGCGTTCGTCAAATTTGATGCGAGATTGGATGGTACGTTTACTGGTTCCTCTCACAATTTCTGAAGTCCCGATCGGAGTTCAACTCAACGTTGAACGAGCATTGTCACAGTCAATTCTTCGATCGCTGTTTGGCCAGATGTTCAACCCAGTAATTCGACGAGCGATTCGATGGAGGCTCCTCTTTGGGATTGGAGAGATCCTGTTGCATTGCCGCGACTCGATACAAACTACTTATTTCCTAGCTGCGCTTCGTTCGTCCACTAAATACAAGTGCCTCCCGGTTTCCGCAGCCCAACATCACTCTCACTCCCAGATGAGGCCGAACGTCACATAGTTAGTATCACAATTATTCGCGCCAGTGACCTCCACTGCATAATCTGCACAGTTATAGTCCCCATCGAGGTGCACACATAGGCTGCCGGTTTACGAATCGCGCTTCGTCACCGACCAACACAGGCGCCCAGACTGGTCGCACTTGAGGTCTGTGTTTTGGAAACCGCCCGGATAGCCGTGTGGATATGTCAGGTCGTTGGCGGACAGCGATGTCCCGTCGGTGCGCTTTGCGGCAATGTCGATCGTCACTTTGCCAGCGCCTTGTTCGCCGTCATCCCCGGCGCATCCAGTGAAGCCTATCGGGCAGCACCCGTTGTCTCTCGCATCTGATGTGTAGGTGAACTCGAAGCGCTGGCAAGTCCGCCTGCACGCTTCGACGGCTCTGAAAATAGCAATTTGGGGTGAGTTGCTTCGTCACTGCCGTCACCGCTCGACTATCTCTCACCTGAAGTAGGAGAGGCTGCGGCGAGCTGTGCGACGGCCAATCTTTTGACGAAGGTCGATAGGATCATGAGGCTGCTTGAAAAGTGCGTGAATCTGGCAGTAGAAGTGCTCCGAGTGTAGATCTGAACTCCTGGCCTTCTTATAGAATTCTGCTCGGAGCGCGACAAACCCAAAGACTGTCCACATAATCAACCCATATGGACTAGAAGAAATGGACGTTCCACCGACTCCAATGCCAGCAGCATTGTTCCCAAACAGAAGGAGAAACTGGCCTAATGATGCGGTTGGATCCGACATAGGCGCCTTCTCCCGACGAAGTATCAACTTCCGGCGTAGCAAAAACTTCGGTGGCGCGCAAGAAATACAAGGCAATATTCCACATAAAGAGTTACAACACCTAATCGCCTAACAGGCATGCACTGGTAGGCACTCCACTCCGGCGATTCTACAATTATTCAAACATTCAACTAGGGCAATATATCACTATTCTGCACCACCTGCGATGATACGGAGGTGCGGTACGCTGTAATGGCCCCCCACAATTCTCCACGGCGCCGCATGCCGGGTACGGGTCCATCCGTCCTGAATTACATCTTCAAGGTTGCACTCAGTTCTGCGTCGTACGCATTACAGCTACGGTGTTTTCGGCTATTGGAATTTCGGGCGGCATTTACGAAGGTAGAACACAATAATTCAACCGCTCCACAATTTTCAGCCAATCAGCGCTCATCAAAAGTTTCGCGTTCCCTGCAGCTGGTCCTGGAGCGATGTTATCGGAATACTTCTGCCGAGTAGTTCGAACAGCACCGTCACATATCGTGAGTCGGAAGGCTGTCCAGTGCTGAATATAAAATGGCCCGCTCACCATCTTGGAAGCGATATCCTCCCCGCAGATGTTCAACCGCCAGTGGTTCTTGCTCATACTCGTTCCCGTCCTGTTCAGTTTTCAGGCTGGCGCCGCCACGCCCGGCCTGAACGAGACCCTGAACCGCCAGGTCTGTCTGCGCAGCACCCGTCCTCCATCGCTAACTACTATTTCAGGTCGAAGCTCGTTCTCTTAGTCGGACGCCTGTCACGACATTTAACGGCACAGTGGCCCACCAGGTCGGCCTGTGGTTTACAGTACGGGCTGGTTATTTCGCTCACTGTTGAGTTCCAGGTTCGCGCCGATTAATATTCAGACGACTCAGACGACGACGGGGAAGGGCCCGTCTACTATGCCGATTTGTGTGGTGTCAACTTTCGCGACGGCATGACCAACGTTCACAATGAATGCGACAAGAACCTCCTTCGCGCGTCGTGTTGCAGGATAATCCAGCGACATGCATCCCTATCTGTACCTTCGTACGTCTCAGACTACTCATGTGTATCAGATTCGAGAATGCTTAGTCAAGACTCTAGGATACCGTGGAGAAGCCTACTAATCGTTCAGGGTGCTCATTAAATATTGGAAGACCACTTCCTGGAGCTACAAGTTGTCAATTCCATTGCGATGGCTCCTGTGGACGATGCTCCCGGAAACAACAACGGGGCGTGCTCAGCTATCAACGCGATGCTCAATGTCATGGATGCCAAATTTCCTCCCGACAAGAATGGTCACGACGTCGTATGCCAGTCTTAAAACAAAGTTCATCCAAGAAAGCCCGCTGTTCACGCAGACAAATGTCAACCCCAATACGTACTGGATAGATACAGATGTTACGTAATCAGCTGGTTAGTTGCACGTTTGGTATCACGGTCCACATACTAGTCAACTCACACTTTCCTCAGAAGGGCAAGCTGATCCGGCGGTTCCTCACGCTGCCCCCTCAAGCACAGATCACTGCCCTCAACGCCAAAGAGAAACGTACCCTGCCCGCCTTGAAAACTTACATCAAAGAACTTCAGATCAGCGGAAACGGGCTTCACCTCGCTGTAGATCTCGAGGACGAGTGGCAGCCGTTCATCGATAAATTCTACAAAGAAATCGCCGGCTATGTTCGACGTCGGTGGCCGCTGACGTCGACTAACGCGCGTATCCGTAAGAAACATGACAATAAGATGGCGGAGTTGGCTGCCGGGAAACGGGTGCGCTGCTCTTCTTTGTTACACTGTCTCTTGGACGCTTATACAGTTCTGTTTCAGAAATTCACCAACCACAAAGCCCGCCTCGACGAGAGGTTTTCGGCCGCGGTAAACTTTATTCTGAATTATCCAGAGCTGTGAAGTGGAAACGCACAGAGGCTGACAATGCCCATTGAATATTAATCTTTATACTTTTTCACAAATGTGATGATCTAAGTATCAGTTGCAGTTATTGCTTTCTGTGTCGCTTTCAACAACGCACGCTTTGCGGAATTTCCTGCTAGAGGAGCTAGCACATTACATGGTTGGAGGCTTCAGATCGAAGACGACATGCGATGACAACTGATTCCAAGCTGCTGTGAAAGCATTGGTTGCCCCTTTTTATTTTGCAAGGCAGCTGATATTTCGACGTCTCGACTCGCGCTGGGAGACAATAAGCATCGCTCCATCTCGTATTAAAATCTCTGTGGGAACGTGTCGTCCAACAAGCAAACCTCCGCTGCGATGAAGAAATCAGTTGCAATAAGCGATAGTCGATGGCCGAAGTACACACCAGCAACAGCTCCCCTCCTTTTTTGCGCGATGTGCGCATCAGCCCGGCTCCAAAAATCAACCCGCCCGCGGGCACCGGCCTCCCAGTCCCAAAAGTACTGTGAACAAATGATCATGACGAACCGCACATCCTGTGGGGGGTACTTGGAAAACTCCGCTTCGTACTCGACCATGATCATGTTCGGCCAAACCACAATCAATGCCTCAAGTAGCTTACAGTCCGCAAGGACAGTGTGAAAGAGCTCCGCGGGAAGCGCTTCGTCGGAATAGTTAAAGGAAAGGTGTGTAAGGCGCGGGAGGAGCGCGAGCTTGTTCCAGGGATCCCATGTGAGGCCGAAGACGTCAGAAATATCCAGATGGGTGATCTGAGAAAAGAGGGAAAGCGTGAAGTCGGGGGGACCGGCAAAGAGCACCGTCAAGTTCGCAGCCAGTCTCTGGGGACGCATGCGCTCTATGTATGGAATGACGGATGGATCCGAGTCGCCGTTGAACAGCGCGAGATTGACGACACCTGTGCAGGCCGACAGAAGGCGATCCACATTCGCTCGGGGGACGTTGTTATTGACGGCGAGATGCCGAACGCTATTGTGGAAGAACAACGCAGGCTTGGCTGCCAACGCACGCATGATGGGCTCCATCGCCATCGGCTTTGTTGGTCCCGGATCTCCACGATCTCGTCTGAACAAGAGGACGCGATAGAGAAGTGGTTCCAGCCTGAGAACAGAGATTAGTGCGCAACTGCGTCGGGAGAAAGGCAATTGAACCAGTCATGAACCCGGTGAGCCACGAGGAGTAATTTTGGAATGCCTCGTCGATTGAGAGCTGCCGCAAGCTCAAATATTTCACGTTCCAGTTCCACTGGAAGATTTTGCGATTCTGCTCCCATTATGTGGCGGTAGTATCAGTCTCGCTAGCCGTGCAAGGGCCCTTAGCTTTTGCTCAGCGTTGTGATGTCGAGAAGATGGTGGCAGGAAGAAAAACAATGAATCGGATCTTTCTTCCGATCACGCGATGTAGCACAGCATTTTCGGCCGAAACTTTGAGTTGACTTGCGTGAAACTCAACCGTTTACGTCATGTGAGCGTGTGTTGGATCAAAAGCGTCAAAGCAAGGCCAAATAACTCGTCTCTTACTCCCGGCA